AGAGTAGAATTAATCGGAAAATCAACTGGCCTGGCTGCTAGCCATAGGCGTAGCAAAAATCTGTATTAATCGATTTATTCTAAGCATGAAACATTCACTCATTTTCTGACCTTTATCTCTACATTACATGTTTGAAATTATAAACGCTATAATAGTAACGCAAATTTTTTAAGCATTTGATAGCGATTCAATAGGGATCGAATATGGATCTTAGCTTATAAATTCAAAACAACTCACGCCACTGGTTCCTGTTTACAATCGTGCAAAACAGTACAGGTTAGGAAAATTCAGGTCGGTTTTCCTGGAAATGAAGCCACTTCGCACGATTTCTTTTAAGCGTAACAGTTTAGGAGGCACCACAGTTTATTAATATCACGATTATCACTTATTATCACCAAAAACACGAGAAATTGCCGTATTTACTTATCCAACAAATCCTCTTCCTCTTTCACTGTCTTGTCACTATCACCACTATCTCATTGCGGTGTTGTCACCACGGTTGAATGTTTTATTATGTTTTCTGGTAATTGCCACCAAAAATTCTTAGGAATTTTTAAATATAAAATTTCGAAGCTGTTATTTCATGACATTTGCTTTTCGCTTATTGGAAAATAAGCAAATATAACACTAAATATATTAATGGCTACCGTTTTCCTGCTTTTTTCTTGTTCACGCCACTCATATATAAAATTGATTACCGAGCCGGCAACGCAGCTCTCGCAAGTACCTACTTTTCATGGTAAAACCTGAGGTTCCAATACAGTGGCTTGCACTATCAAAATCACTGGTCAAGCAGTGGGCCAGTTAGTGCACAATCGGGCCAAATAAGATAGAGAATAAGCGGCATATAAGACTGTGAACCAATGTTGCTCCCATCGAAAAACGTAAAGAAATGCATCTGTTTAATCTGAGGTTTTAACAACAGAATTGTATTTGATTTGATCAATAATTCTTGACAGGTGGTTTTGGATCACAGTTGTGACCTCTTTCTTTCTCTCTAGAAAGTAAAGGAAAAGAAATCAGTCAAAACCAAAGAAACACATTTTTTTAACAAACACTACAGAAATTTCCAAATAATCTGTTATAGACTTTCGCTTATTCTGTTAGTTTTTTGATAGAGAATTATTTGATTTTTGTTCCAAATTCGAAGCTGGAAGGGGATATAAAAACTTTTTACAAAGCAACGAAGGATTCGAAATTTATTTCATAATTGTTCGCGGAAAATTGACCATTTGGAAGAAATACTAACTTGGCTAAAACTGGAAAATTCTGAAATTTTGAAGAAATTTAAAAAATATTATTAATAAATTGCCCTTAAAATAAATCGAGAAACAAGTAAAAAAGTCATCAAGATATTTCCAGCAACGGAACTGAGTTACTGCGCCGGTGCGTTGGGTTGGCGCACCAAACCACTGCGCCAACTCGCATAGGAACTAAAAAAATAGACAGTTAATCTGGATGTTCCTTTGAGCTGAATGCAGAAACTGACAAACACACCGTAGGTATAAGCATTGTAGTGAATTATTTGTGTTAGCGTTTCACGTCACATATGTGCGCTTAGCTCGAAAATACGTACTCCATATGAATGGGGCCATTAACATAAACTTTGCAAAGCAAACTTCTTCGCAGGAATTCCGCGGGGCTTTGCAGAATTTCGAAAGCCGGACTTATATAGGGAACAGTCGCCGAACAATAGGGGCGTTTGACGTCAGAAATGTGGCCGCTCTGCTTTGTTGGGTCATCAGAAACCCATTCATATCACTTGCCGGAATAATGGCTCTGCCAATGACTTTACAAAGTCTATGAGTCGGCAAACTGGCGTCAGCTGGGCCCGGAGAATAACGGCTTTTTACTCCCGGATTCTTTACCATCCGGGTGTTTTAGGTTTCAACCTGCCTTTGATTGGCTATTCAATTTAAAGCCGCTACAAACCCACACGACTCCACTTACTTCCACCCAAAATCCCCTGAGATCATCCTGTATAATTTACTCAACTGGCGCAGTTTGTATTTTCATTGCGCTGGGCCGATAAAACACATATTCCCTTCAAAACGATGTGAATAGCAATTAATTAGCGGAACCCGGCACCGTTTGCTGCCATTAAAAATAACTGAGTTTGTTTTGATAAGCGGCCTGCGACAAGAAGGCATCATTTAAACCGCTTTCATGTCATCCGCATTAAACATACATCAGATAAAAATATCGGTGGGAATCATTGGGGTGATGAAAAAGATCTAACAGAAGCGCTCGCTCTGCACCCCACTTTCCTAATTAAACATTTTTCTAATAGCTCCCATATGGCCAAGTCCATTGTTGTTATCGGTTATTAACATTAAGGGTGAAACTTACTTACTTAGTTACTCATGACGGTTTTGT